CAATTCTATCTCTTTTGTGATTATCCTTGTTTGAGTCCTAGTCTCTGCCCCTACATTAATTCGTTATAAGGGTTGTGACAGATAAATGGGCCAGGCCTTGGCTGTTCCGAAGGTCGCCAGATGAGTCGCGTCAGAGAAGAACATAAGTCCGGCGATGACGTGTTTGAGTGAGCAGTTGGGTTCCTTTGGCTGCCTTTGCAGGTCATCCTGGGCCGCTAACCAGGAATCAGAAGTATAGAGCTCGTCGAATATGCGCTCTTGATGGCTGCCCAGAGGATCTCTCCACAGATGCTTGAAGGGCAGAAGGTGGAACACGTTGGCCTGGATGTCAGCAAATGCAGAATGAATCACTCCTACGAGCGGCCTATAATGAAATCCCGGAATGTTAAATGACTTGGATGGCTCGTCCTTGGACTTCGTAGGTATGTCAAGGGTAATACTTGTCTCTAACCAGTCATCCGGAAAGATGACAGTCCCCTTTCCTCCGTTATTGTCCAAAGTGCACAAGCTCTTCTTGACCGAAAACCCATCCAGGTCCCTCGGATTGAAGTCCTTCGCCTGAATCACGTCTTTAACAAGGCATGATACTTCAGCCTCTGATTTGTGATGACTGCCGGTGTTCATCCACACCATAAGGCAGTAGACAGTCATGTTAGGGAAGGGATGTGGTGGTGCGGGGGATGATTCGGGCTCCGAGGCATTGTCGGTTCTTGGACTCGAAGTAGCCAGTAACGAAGAAGAGATGTATTTATCAGGCTCAAATGAGGGACGCCTAGGATATTGCCGACAGAGTCCAATTGTGTTGAAAGTGGTTTGAAGAGAATCACGCAGAGTTAAAAGGACTCTTTGAATCCTGCTGCAAGGAGCACTCTGAGTCTCAGAAGACAGACTGTTATTCCCCAAAGAATCTGAGAGGTTGGTATCTTCGTCGTGGGGTAGAAGATTGTGGAAATCTCTTGGGACCGGCCTGAGCTTGCGTTGCAAAGGGCATTGACCTGTGACTGCTAGTGATTAATGAGGGCTATGATGATAGATACAGAGTGACAGGAAGGTACACACCTGGGGCATCATGGTCTCGCTCATCAGTATCCTCCATTGCAACATCCAAGACGTCGGAGTCGAAGATTGATGAGTAAGTTGCCGTACTGACATGAGCAGCGTTGGTGGGGTTGGTAGGCTGATGTAGGGTGCCAAACACCCTATGTTCGCACTGAGCTATAGGTTTCAAACAACCGGCGTTCTTGGTAAATCGGATTGGTCCGAGCTGGTATGGGTTGGAGGGTAGTGAGTGATGTGAGTGTGTTGTAGCAACCTACGAGATTAGTGACTTACCCTACTACTAGGAGCACCACTACCGTGACTAGTCATGAGTTGTAAGGATCTTTGCAAAGTTTGAGCGGATTCCTGTGCCCGGTTTCACCTTCTCTCGGTAGCTAATGTGCTTTCCTTGCAGTAATGCTTGCAGATAGAACGATGCCTGCTTAGTCCACAAAAGTCTGTATCTCTCTCCCAAGAACAACGCGGTGCACCGCAGAACACCATTGACAGGATGAAAATGACAAACAGAATCCAAGATGATCGCGAGAGACGCATTACCAGTTGTGATCATAAGGGTAGTAGTACTACCTATTCGATTCGTATGAACAAGCTTACTATTATGTCTCCTTGTTGGGCATTGCCATATATATATATCATCATAGCACTTGCTCGTACAAAGCTATACTGTACTTGCATATGTGGCCAGTTTGCTATGAGGCCTCAAGGAAACTTGCAAGGGATAAGACACAAGCAAAACTTGAATTTTCAAGTCCAGGACGACGAGATATAAATGGTGCTGTACTTTAGGTGACATCATACAAGATAAGCGAGTTGGTAAGATAAAATAAGCTAGGAAGTCACAGAAAGATGCAGCCTCCTCAAATCACCCCTATGCCACCCACCCTACAGGTTTATATTCCGGCATTAGACAACTTGCCTTCGTAACTCTCTGCGCCCATGCATCTTCCTCGCGCTTCAAGAGTAACAGGAGTTGAGTGTACTGGCAGACACGAGTCCGCGCTGTGAGGTAGCTTGAATACATGCTGTCAATGCTTAATTTGGTAAATAGGGTATCCTGCTCATCGTCTTCTATGTCGATTCCGTCAAGTGCCATCTGAAACAGACTCAGTGCTCGCTGCTAAGCAAAACCATGGGATTCTCGTACCATATACGTCTGCTTCTCTCGTTTTTGCTCAGCACTTTCGATGTTTGAAATTTGAATATCGACTTCGGGGAAGTCATTCATGCTGACGTGAAGAAAGTCTTGGGCGCTTTGTGATAATGATGGCGTTGATGATGGCATTTTGATAAGTTTAAGTAGAAACATTTCAATCAAGATCTATTTAAATATTTAAATGAGATTTTGATCAGAGCATTCAATGTTTTGAATTTCCACTTACAATACAAATTGATACTGTAAATTACCGCTACTGCTGTCCAGGGTCGTGTCCTTCTCAGCTGGGTGTTGCGTGACGTAGTAACAATGGCAGCTTGCATAAGCTTTCTGCCCTTTGTAAGGGTTCAAAAATAATACTCTGGGGGGACGAGTGAGGATGGCGTTTAAATCAATCCGATTTCGGGTCCGTGCAGGGCCAGAGTGTGCTGCATTTGCCAATACATGAGGGAAGACAATTTCATATAACGAACGAGTGGAAAAGGAACCAATCTCCAAAGCACTAGTAAAGTCTGGGCATGAGGAGGAATTCACTGTCAAGACTAGCAACAGTCACCTCAGTGGATTGAACATGTATCTTCTCCGCGGGCATGAAGCAATTCATCCGAAGAAGATAACTTGCTCAAGATAAATTAATGCCGGGCATAGGTAGTGCCCTGCAACCGTGTGTCCTTCAGTAAAAATTCAATCGGAGTATCGAAACTGGCTAAGTTACTGCTCAACAAAATATGATGCTTGGAAGTTGGGATCCCATCTCAATCCAAGCATCTACCTGTGAGATGCAAGAGGTGCCTACACAGGACATCAACAGTTGGGGTAAAAAGGACAGGCTGACAGAAACGCAAACAGAAATAAGTTGCATCCAAGGTCGAAGTGTCTCCTGTGGGAACAAGTCAGCCAAGAACGGTAGAACCAACGGACACCTTTGGCGAAGACAAGGGTACAGTGCGCGCTAGTCGGGTGAGATCATCTAGAAAGGGCAAGAAACCCTGCAGCACGTCAGGGCAATCCCAAACGGTGATGTGCTGTGTATCCATAGCCATCAGGTGAAGAGAAGAATTGTAAGTGTTCTGATAGTCCTTGTTCAGCTTTTCTTGAAGGTGACTAGTGCGTAATCGCCTCACCTTGATTTCGAAACCAGAAATGAAGTTGGTTCTACTCAAGCCAACACAAACGACACTCCAAAGGAGTTTTGTGTCCGGAAAGCCTGAAGCAGATTGTTCGATATGAACGTGAGCATACAGTTGGCTCCTACCACGCTGCCGTGACAATCCTAGAGCGAAAGCCGGTGACCTCAAGACTGTGATCGGCATTATCTGCAAAAGTACTATGGCCACTGAGTTCCGTTGGTGAACCTGAGATGAGCGCGAGGAGTATCAAAGCCCAAACAAGAAAGAGAGAGATGCTGGAAATGACAGTGTTGTTCTAGGTAATGATAGAACGAAGTGGCGGCTCCTTGGAACTCAACCAGAGAAATACAAATTTCGTTGAGCTCAACTGCAAAACCTCGTCATGAAAAACTTCGAGGATTGAAGCCAAAAGCAAATGGCCAAACGGTGAATGAATGTGACGGAGAGCCTGAGCTTCAAGTTTCCAACAAACGTGTCAATGAAACAACTTGAAGAGCATCATGATAGCTTGAGCATTTACCTCAGACAAGTAGAACAAGAGTGCTAGGCGAGTGATAGGGATTAAAAGCACTGCGTCTCCCTATAAGATACTACAGGCAATAGGCCTGGTGGGTAGTATGATAATCCGTTCAGGCTGCGGCAGTCGCAGGATCTAAGTTTGAAAAAATTGAGACTCAGAGCTGCACCAAATGGTGCAAATTTTGAGTGGGAAAGCAGTCGGTGGATTGAGAAGAAATAGCTGTCATATGTATCAGGAGATGCAAATCAGCAGCATATGGTAAGATTCATCATACTGTCTGAGATCTGAGACAGTCTAAAAGTCAACTTCAAAACGGTGTGGGAAAATAGTGCTCACAGTGCCCAGTAAACGCAGACCGCTTCCGGTGAGAGCGTTCAACATCATCATGATGAAGCACGAAGTTCAAGTTCAACTTGCTCCAGTACCGCTCACCTAACAAGCCTTTGACAACTCTGCTGAGCTTGATGTGAATCGCACCTGCCGCAGCATTTGACAGTGTCCGAGGACCAGTGTTGACTCCATGACATACTAGTATGATCATGACCGTCGTCCCTCCCACCTCACTTAATACATTCTTTCACCCCTCCAAACCATTCCCTGATGTTTCTACTTCCTGTATTATTCTTAGTCATACTTGTGGCCATGCCTTGTCATGTAGCCCAGATTTTGTGAAACTGGTTCAACCATGATCAACCCTGTGTGACCTACTAGTATGTCCTGTGCGCCAGTCAATCACTGCCAGTGAGTACGCCATGTCAGTGGCTGCTAACATCAAGTCAGCTCCGGGCGTACCCAATCCATCTCACTTGTCATGCATCACATCATGATGTACTCCAGCCGCTAGAGCCCATTTGGCAGGTAAGCAAGGTCTGTTCAGTCACAGTGACCTTAGAAGTCCAGAACAATTTCAAGATATAGAGCTTATCATTATTGAATTTAAATAGGATGCTGCAAGGTTCAGACCGGCAAAGATAATATGTAATCTGTACTGCCAACTCGTGCTAGGCAGGTATAAATGTCCTCAAGGCGTTCAATGCACTGGCAGTATGGTGTTCATCTTAACAGTTCATTTAGATCACTGTTACCACCTGGACCTTGAGGCCTTCCAAGCCATTCTAGCTGCATTTGAGTTGGAGCCATGCCTCCAGGTAAGTTTTTCCAGATAATTTTATACCAGATGATCAACCTGCACCGCTTCAACTAGAGCACGCCCACCTTCAACAAGGTTATGGCTCTGATATGCCCTTTATTGAAATCGCACCTTTGAAAGTGTCGGGTCAATTGAAGACTCAGAGGAAGAAGAGACAAGAATACAGTAAGGGCGCCTACATGAGCAACTCAGACGACACTAGCTCTTTTCTTCATTACAAGCCGCCCACACTGCCCCCAAACTCCGCCCAACCGTCCTTTCTGCCGCAACCATCCTACTCACTACCAAAACTTCCCCAATTACCACCACCACCACCACCACCACCTCCCAAATTGCCATTGCCACCTTCGTCGCCACTTTCATCGCCACCTTCATCACCAACTCCCGAATTGCCATCGACACCTTCATCGCCACCTATGTCTCTTGAAGTTCTGCCAATGCCTATATCACTCCCAGAATCTCTCGAAGTCCTGCTCGCACCATCATCCATGCCACCATCTCCAGTCATGCATACCGTGACTGCCTCAGCCTTGGTGTCTGTGTCAGACGCAAGTCGCCGTGACTATGGTCAAGTCATCCATAACATAGAGTCGGAGGATGAGTCGGTAGTAAAGGAGGGACTTGAAGTTGATGCAAAGTGGGACGTCACCCACGAGCACCTTTGGGCCAATTGGACTAGTTGCCTAGATGATTAGCTGCTCATTCACTACAGCTACTAGTACTGCATCTGAGAGTCACGGAAAGCTAGGGAACATGCTAGTTACGCCGGACTCTTCTCGGAGCTTTCACTGATGATGTTCAAAAGCTTTGACACGTCCAAATTAGGGAAGTCTATCTTGGTTTCATTGGCTGTGATTTAGTCATGTGACCGCTTGTGAGGTAAATATGTGAATGCGCTTACTTCACGTGATTGTAACTGAGTGTGACACTGCACAGTGCAAATACGCCAGTAGTTGCTGATATGACAAATGTTATATCCCATTTCTTCAATTCTAATTGACAGAAAATGTATTGCCAATGTAACTGAGTAGCCTCCTGACCAATAGATTTGTCTTAGTCCATGCTGGTCCATGCTGGTCACGTGATTAACGTAGAATCGCTACCGGCATTTGCCGATTTCTGAACGATCGATATCATTTGGTTATCTCTTCCGTAGCTTCCACACCTGACCTCACCATGCCACACCCAAACCAAACGCTCAGCATTCATCCCGGTAGGGGAGACGGGCTGAATCTCGAGGAAACCCAGGTGAGTTGAACAATTTATCTGTTTTGAGTAATGCTAAATCGGATAGGCTTTCTTATGACTACAACAAACACCTACTCATTGTCGACATGCCCAGTATCCTCCATGAGAGGTTCTTTGATCATTTGAAGGATGCCATGGCTGCCTACTTTCTCTTCCTACCCTACGATCGCGAGCTCGTCTCCCCATTCCTCTCTATGAACTATCCGCTGAAGCTGAGAGATTGATTAGTCACGCCTGATCTGACCATGACCATCACTGCGGTGGAGAATGCTCCAAAAGTAGTCCTCATTCCATGCGTAGGTGAATGCGCCATGTCTGAGGACAGGGCGCACGTCTTCACCAAAGTGGAGGATGAAATCATTGCGCATCCAGAAGCCGTATTAGCAATCATAGTCATTATCTGCAAAGTGATCAACTACCAGGGTCCCAAAGACATCTCAACCACATCAATTTCACTTCATAACGGTCGACACAACCCCGAACCACTTCCTCTCGCCGATTTTCTTAACTTATGTTCTACACCACAAGGGTTCAACCAGCCAATCAGGATCGCTGATCACGACTGGGCTCATTTGGCTTCTGTAGAATATTTCGTGTGGGTGAAAGGTGACAACCAGGCTCGAATTGACGTGCGTAACACTAATCCGCAGTTCATGGCCCACGGCGCAAGTCACCGCAATCATCATTGTGGTTTCGAATCCAACTGATGAAACATTATGCAGACGTTGGGGTCTGTCTTGCAGATGGATGGCGTAAGTGCTATGCTTCAAAGGGGGATGGATAAGGTTAGGGATATGATGGTTCGTTTCTCGAGAACTCTCAATATTGCCAGGGATTTCTCCGCATTGGAAGAAGCTGAGGTTAGGTTACCCCTGAACTGGAGCCTTAGCGCAAAGTTCGCCCTCACCACGGCTGACCTTACCGCTCATGAGCGATATGAATCCTGGCATGACGTGCGATTCAAAGGTGTCAAACTCACGAAGCAGAACCACGATCCACCTTATTGTCCTTCGGAGTCAGATCATGATGGTGGTTCATTGGAGTCGGCTACTCCTCCTCCTCGTACATGCTCCAGCTGCACTTCTCGTACACGTCTCTGCAAGCATGTGAGCACTTCCCAGCCTCCCCCGCGCAAATCGAGGAAAACTAAGGGAAAAGCTCAGAAAACTGATGTATGACTCGGAAGTTAGCACGTTGATTGGCATCATTCCGATGAATTGTTGAGAACACCGGGCATAGTTGAAATTTTCATGTGTACTTACTATTACCTTTCTCGCTTTGTTGTTACGTGGTATTCCATTGCATTTGCAGATACCATCGATTACTAGTTGTACTACTACTGGCTCACTTTCAAGTTAGATTACTGCATGCAACGAACTGTAACTTTACGAATGAAGAATGAGTGTCAGCTTTATGTATGTCTTAAGTCTGACGGCCGCATCCGTTTTTCATTTAAATATTATCATAGCGGGAGGTTCATTTTCTTCAAAGACAGACCCGCTAATAAAATCATGAGTTGCCCTACTAATCACCTGACTGTTGAACGTTGAACCCCAGTGAGAAACGGTCCTAGCCGCATCGACAGAAAATGACTGAAATATTGCGACAATATTCGCATCGATTTGGGGAGACGGATGAGACTCATATGATATTTTCAGTGACTCGCATCAAGTGAGATATTGTATCATCGATTGTGTTTGTGTACCGTAGATTCTAGTATATTCCCGTAGCTCCCAATTGACTTCTGCATATTCGCTCATCGACGCAAATCAACCAAAAACAATTGTATTACGAAAAAAATTACAAATGCAATAAAAAGTCTACTGTATATACCACTGGCGCCCCACCCACATCAGGATGATGTAGCCCGCCAGTTTCTGGTACATGGGGGTCCTTGACTGAAACAGATAATTATTAGATGAGTGCTTGCCAGACAAGCAGACAGTACTTACAACGACAGCTGCCCCGTTCTCATGTTTCTACAGCAATGGACATTGGATATCAGTTAGAGTATATTAGGTAGCTTTTGATAGAACTCACCAATTGACTGTCTTGTAACAAAGGATCTGTTGAAGCCACTGGAGGTGTCGATCATCAGGACAACAGTATAAGTATTGAGCTAGTGATGATATAAAACAGTCAGTGAATGAAGCTGACAATGCCAGATAACTCACAATGTTCAAAATGTGTGCATATATGCACCGTAAATAGCACTTACTTGTCGCAAGAACAGATGACTATTGAGTGGGTGGGATCAGTAAATGGATTGGGCTGTGAAAAGGCCTAGTACTTATCTTGTTAGTGGCCAAGCGAGAAAGTCACGCATCAGATGATTCCAGGATGGTTGAGGTCAACGGCAAGGTTTTGCTGAGAGGAGGATGAGATGATGGAGGGGAAGAAGAAAGCTGAGGTGAAGCGAGTAGGGATGGAATGTCCCAATATTGGTCCACTGCATATCAACATCATCGCGTGAAGTGACAGTGCATGCACAGCTGATGTGCAAGAATGTTCAAATGTTCAAATATTGAGCAAAGTCAAGTCAAAGTTGAAAGAATTTCAACATGTTCAACATTTACTCAGCGCAATGAGCGCATTGCCACTGATGGTGTATTTGAAACCCATTTGAAATCGATCAAGCATTGTTGACATATTGTTCACATTTATCGATTTGCGTAGTTATTACAATATTCCTGGTAGATATTTTATATTGTCGTCATTTGCCGTAGATATGGCTAGGACCGATTTTCACTGGGGTTGAACGTTGAACCGCCGTGACCTGTTGCTGGAATCTACACTTTGGAAGAGACCGAGTTGACGAGCAAGTGAACTGGCTGAGAGAAATTAATAGCAATATAAAATTTAGTAAGATAGGACTCTGTGGGAACGACTTTGAATTTGAGTTGGCGGCAATCTGAGTAGAGAACCTGTTCAACCTCATGCCACTCACCCCATCGCTATCATCGCTATCATTGCCTAATCTGACGAAGCTCGGTCTCAAGACAACTGAGATTATTTGGAACCAAGCCAGAAGCTGGTAATTAATAGTCGTCTGATATGATTACTTGTTGATGTCCTTTTGACGTGTTATCTGGCATGCGCGTGGTGTACACGTTGACATATTTGTATGCTGTCTGAACTCTATTTTGAGCTGCTGTACCTCATTAGATAATTTAGTAATTACTGTTCGGCTCACGCCCTAGCACTGCATCTGCAGAGGAGAAGCGTTCTGCCAGTCAGTGCACGTTCCATCATTAAAGTTGAGCTGGGAACTTTCCCATGGATGCAAGTGAACTGAACGTGTTCAGTTCCAGAACTCCTGCCTGCAGTGTTCTGCCGGTCAGTGCATGTTCATCAAAGGAAGGTGCCCTGTTACTGTTCCAATGTAGATCGGCTCCCAGAAGCTTCAAGGTGACGTTCTTTAGCATCTCCAGTCAGTGTACGTGAATCCAGACGTACTAATTTCCAGGTATTATCCAGGCCACGAATCTTATTTCGTCCCGAGCATGGATCCTTCGCACTACCCCATACTAGACTCAATGTAGTTATCCATGGACCCCAGCAACTTCTCCCAAAGTATTCCTAAGCTGAGTAAATCTTAGTAAGTCTCTCGGTTGCGGTCTTATCTTTCATATCGTCATCCCCTCATCAGATACGTGGTAGCCAGGTTTCCTCGAGGCTTGTTGTTCTCGAGTCGCTGATCCCGTTTTGCTCGATGATCGCAAGTGTTCAGTCTCACCGGACTCTGAGGACGCCGAAGATGGGCTTGAAGAGCTTTGTCGGTGAAATTGACCTACCTGAAAGTGAGTGGCTTAATTTATCTTCAACTTAACAGTGTCTTAACAATTCAACAGCTGGACCAACTGTCTTAATGACAATGAACCTCGTCCTGCCTCAGTATGTACCCTCGGATAAACCTTTTGTAGGTTATCTGAGGATCAAGTGTGCGATGCATTTTTTATGGTATCTATCTACAACAATGTGTACTGACAACTGGTTTTGTTTTTTACAGGCCGTTTGTCTCCGCTGTTCAATTCAACGGAGCCGACTTGAGGCGTAGCAACCTTTTCAGAAATTTTAAGTTTGACGGTACCTATTCTTTTACGGACGTTTTAGAAGCTAACCGTTGCAAATGACTCTATCCGAAGAGCTGGAATGGACTCCAGAGCAGAATCCAAACTCACAAATAAAGTTACCCTGATATTCTTGCAGCTCACTGAATCTACGCAATTGCTCCGTTTGTACCTCAGGTAAATTCGCTTGAGTTCATATTTTATGAGTTTCTGATGAGCCTTGTTTCGTTGATCAGAGATATTGGAGTGACACATCGTTGGTATCATTGTGAGTGCCCAGTGTTCACCATAAATCATTGTTTTTGATTCACCTTCAAGTATTCTGTGTCATACGTAGCTCAAGCCCTCACAGCCGTTCAATGGAACCGACTTTCTTATCATGTTGGCCAAAAGCCAGTGGTTTTGACTTGTCTATTGTTATATCGGCCTATCTGAGCTTCCAAAGACCTTCGGGGGCTTGATACTGAGGTTCGTGTGTCATACTCTGATTGAAAGTTTTTTCGATTGTTTAGTCGTGTATTGTGTGGAGCGCTGGATGGCAACAGCAGTCGTGGATGACCGGAAATACGGTCGCCAAGTGGGGTCCCACCTGTTTTGTGCACCCCATTCTTATGTGCTTCGCTGCATCGATACGGTGAGTCAAATAGAACCTACTTTCACTTAATTTGATCGATGTATACTAGAATACAAACTCGAACTATTGGCAATGGGCTGGTATGTTAGGTAGTTGTTTGATCGTCCAGAGTAGTCGACACTGTTGGCAGATGTCTTTAGTCAATCACTGGTTCTTTGGCCATTTCGACCTGTCGTCCGCTATGATCGTTGGTGTCATACGACCCTTCTTCAAGTCAATTGAGCATCTGGACACACTAGTATGTTATGTACTACATTTTGAGAGGCAAACTCGCTTAGGCACAAATTGTAGTTGCACTCCCTGTCATATCCACATTAGGCATTGCCCTATAAGTTTTAACATTTAGCAAGTGGGTATATAATGGTCTAAGTAAGTTTTCCGAGTCTCCCAGTTCCCTCCATATTCTTTTTCGTTACATTTGCCATTGCTCACTTGTTGCTCTTTATTCTTCACTTCACACACGTTGACCTCCCTCACATCTACCATGTCTGCGTCAGGGGCTGACAATCAGGTTGGGTCGCAAGCCCTCTCACTTCCAGACCTTTCTGGGGTAGTCCCTACCTCTACAGAAGCAAGAGCGAAGCGTCGCATTGCTGCATTGGAAGAGGAGCTGGAAAACATGAGGCAAGAGAGAGGAATCAAGCAGAGGTTTGATATGTACCACTTTGCTCGCTCCGCGCTTGTTGCTTACCTATCCTAAAAGAAAGACGACTTACTATGTTGCTCAAGGTAGAGCGATTCGTCGGATGGTCGTGCTCTATACCAGCTTGGAAGACTTGGTTGCCGAGAACGATCACAGATACAAGGAGGGGAGCCCGGAGGATAATACCACAGAGTACGCCATTTGCATTTCTGTTTTATACTTAATAGCTCATTTCTATTGTTCAGACAAGATCGCCTGCAGCGTGGTTACATTGTACTCGCACAGGTTCTGCCATGGCTACATGCAAAACTTGGACAACTTGATATCGACGAATGTCAAGATATGCTGAAACAGGTCTGTATTCTCAGTTCCAAAGCTTTCTGCCCTGCATACTGATGACACTAGCTCAAAAGAGGAGCGGATGCGGCCCGTGGAGACGATACATCCACTCTCAAAGACCTTGTCGCTTCCTGGGTTAATCAAGACTTTCGACCATCTTCTCTACTAAAGTCGGATGACAAGCAGATGCGCGGCTTTGTACACAACATTTGTGGGAACTTACTCTGCCCTTCAGAGTGGGACTGGGGTGATAACACGTGAGTGTCAGCCTTCGTCAGTTATTAGATGACCCTGATGATTTGACAGGGTGAAAGCTGGGATTCGTGACAGAATGGTAGACTACATCGTATCGGAAAACTCCTGGCCACTATTTTTGTACGAGAAATACATGGTCAACTATGGCAACCTCAAGCAAGGCCTCTTCAAGTCCAAGATTCTGGTTCAAGTCAGTCGCCTGGGCATAGTGGTGACCGTACTGATGATTACTGGGTTAGGCTTTCAAAGCTATATTCACATCACCCTCTTCCACAAGAGAGGCTGACGGTGACGGTGACGGAGCTGACATCCTCGAAAACAACAGGCGTGCCCGGCGACAATTAAATCAGGCCAAGGTTAAAACTTGCGTGGCCTCCATTATCAACATGAGGAAGGTCACTCCTCGCTCCATCGCCTATGTCGTGTGCCAAGTAAGTAGAGATCGTTACCCACCGTCCAAACCTGACATGCAATACTTTATGGCAGGTTCATTTCGCACTGTCCAACATCTCATCTTGGCGCACCATTGATGGTGACTTCGACTATGAAGGATTCTGGAACAACATGGTAGACTTTTTCGAAGATGTCCCAGGACCCGTCGCACAACGTAGGGTGAACCTACTTCTCGAATGGTGGACCAGGTATATTCTGCCTTGAGGTGTACATAAGAGATATCTGACATTATTATTTAGGAAGGTTTTTGGAAACAACCATCGTCAGGACCTAACGCCAGAAGTCATATCTCATATGTCTGTTACCGCACTCGCCCAACAGAGAAAGGAGCTGGAGGATGCTATTTTCGACTCGGAATAATTCAATCTTCGTTTTACCTTCTGCCATCGTAGTATACACCTTGTACAATAATAATGCAATTATAATGTCACATTCCACCGCTCAAACTATTGACTGAGAATTGTTCAGCATGCCATCTACTATCAAACTTGCTCTTCGTTCCAATCCAGCCAAATTATAGGAACCATACTATGTAACCAACTGTATCTATGATGGTGACAACTAACATGCAAAGTTCGACTAGTAAAAAAACCCTGGTGGATGAAATCATCTGCAATCTCCAAGTCGACAGCATCAGTTGACAGTTCCAAACTGTCAGGGCACATTGGTTCTGTCATGGAGCTGTAGCGGACATAGGAAATCAAAATATATTTAATGGACAATAGAGTTAACCCACGAAGTTCCTCTTATGATGATGATCTGTTCTCCTCATGAAAATTTACCACTCATTCATGACACCGACAGCGTGAGTAAAGGCTGAGAATGACTTGCCAAATGAGCCATTAGCGATACCTCACTAACTCCCTGCAAAACCACCATCTTGTTATTCAGGTTCGGAGGGACGAATTATTATTGTACACACGATTTGTTGCGACGTGCGTATTGGTGCAACAGAGGAATATTTTTTATTGCTATTATTAGTCTGTGCTGATGCTGATCAAAATAAACCGACTTGCCCTGGGAAGGCAATTCCAGCACCATGCGCCTTCGAGTTGATTGCTGGCAGGCTTCCTGGCAAAAGATCTTCCTGTTCCTGTTTAGAGCTGGCGCGAACTTGACAGTCTTGGGCTTGAGGTTTAGCATCTGCTGTGTCTTCGAGACGGGCTTGTGTCGTGTCAGTCATATGATGTATGTAAAAGTGTTGCAGTAGCGCATTGGCATCTGTTTCACAACCAATTTGCCAAAATTTCAAGATTAGATGTAGTGTCTCATATCGAAAATGCACTCTATAGTTACTCTAACGCGCGACATCTTAAATGACCTTCCGATGCTGATCACTGAATCACATATATTCAAACTAAGAATCTTCTCTGGTAACTGTCATATTAAGTGACATGTATTTTGATGTACTAATACCTTCCGCTGTTCCTCCACCCGCCAAATGCACCAGTTGAATTGAAACTTGCGGAATGCTGTTTTGATGGGGGACGTGTGACTTTCATAATTTATAGTGGAAGATTCGGCAGCATGGCAATATTTTGTTTGATTCAACAATCCATACCACTAGCTTAGTAAGATTAACCCACGTCCTCACTGTGAAAATCGGACATCACCGGTAATAGTATCTGGTGTTATACGCTGAGTGCCCTCTTGAAAGCGGCACTGGAGGTGCATCATTCACCATATATACTGATGATGAAGGTGATGTTAGCTAGATGCAGGACTCCGCGTGAACGTAATCAGTAACAAGAGTTGCAGCTTTTGTACTGGGCAATTTTTTTTACTTGATTGTCCCGTGATGGAACAACTTCATGCCAATGGTTAGTGGCGACTTGTGCAGTATCCTGACACTTATAGACCTGTGCTTCACTTTATTGGCTCGAGTTACAGCTTTCCGTCACATGACAATTCAAGTAGAAGACAGTACATTAGACATGGGAGGACTTGGTTGGCTGGCTTGGAAATTCATTGTTCCTATGTAAGGTCAAACATCTCTATGTAACTCTCACCGCCACCTTTATGGAGATTGTTGTGATTTTTAACTATGTATAGTCAATTATGGTATTATAATATGTTCATCGATTCACTGATGATATGGTCATGTACTACTAGATAATGACTATATTTCTCTAAAATATGGTGGCACAGACTATCTAGTCATTTATGCCTTTAGAACGCTATCCTCTATGACCCATGACTGTCACGCAGACCTATATCACATTGTTCACACAAGGTCACTGTCAACTTGTTGCCAAATTCAACCTTGCTTGCCTAGCCACTAAGTCACTGCACTTGCATTTTTCAGCTCTATTCAAGTTGTCGTCGCCCACTGCAGCTATGGTCTCCTTCATTCAAGTTAATTTATCCAGAGCAGAATTGAGCTGTTGCGACACGGTTCAGTCACCAGTGGGATATTCAGTCAAGGTGATTTTGACACTATTTCAACATTCAACACTTCTGCAATAATATATCCTGTAGAACGCTAGACACGAAGTAAGTCTCAGCGGGACGTGAAAGCAACGCTGAGGTAGACTGTGTACGAGGAAGAATTTAAGTACTAGGCATCAAGAAGGAAGCAGCGCGGAGTCTGCCGTGAACGCCGATCTAAATTGGTCTGTTGAACATTAATTAAATTACTGCTCATGACTCATCGTTGAAAAAAAAAACCTATGCACCCTTCTCTAGCAATCAGACATCCATAAATCGCAGCTGCGACTCTAATGTGCATCTCTGAACTCCTCCTAACACCATTGTGGATTGCGCATTATATGTGCTTCCTCCCATTTCGGTTAATCCTTTGGTCATTGCGGATTGCGCGTTATATGTGCTTCCTCCCATTGCGGTTAATCCTTTGGCCATTCAAGCTCTTGACCAGTTTCATCATGTACATCGTCGGTTTTAGAAGACAGGGTGTAGCAAAAGGCACGTCTGCAATCACAGACATAGTAGCTACAGGACTTGTCTCATCGTGTTATCAAAGGTTCATATGCATCCCAATACCAATCCCGTCGTTATGGTGGCTATGTACCACCACAATCTACCTTTTCAAAATTTCAGGCGCATGGGGCTACCGATGATTACGACTCACGAGGATGGAGATGAACCAGAGTCAACGTTTGCGGCTCCCGTGTCTTTCATGGCGGGTATTGGAGTTTTGTTTGTCTTGGGCCGGGCGTGGGATGATGGTATTGATGCGATGGGGAGTAGTGTGGATGTTCGATGGAGGGAGTTGAGTCAGTGTCAGCAACATGGAATACACCGATTAGTGATGTGCTGGAAAAGAGAACGAAGATATGGATCCCTTTGCCCAACCTTTGCCCTCTCCAAAAGCCTTTATATCTGTGGCTAATCGTGAGCTTATCTTGGTGCATTATCCATGCACTCATCAGAGACGCCTTCCGCTATCGATTCGCATAATCCACACATGAGTTTGGTGCCGATCTCGGAACAAGGCCATGATAATATGGTGTTGGATTTCCTGATCATGATGAAGCGGAAACGGTAGAAACAACTCTATTGGCACGGAACCCTGTACAAATGTGCAAAGGAGAAACTCGAAGGACGCAACTATGGATATAAGTTTGGCGTTGCCGAATTTGACAGCTTGCTTACCTGCATGGTCTCGGAGTTTGATTTTCCGCTGTGCCGGAACCATTTTCAACATCCGATCGTTTTCTGTATGCTGCTGCTCAACTTGTGCTCAACTGATGAACGTTCCTCTGTCTCGCCTTGTTTATGTAAACTACTCAGACCTTTTGCGAGAGGGAAGAAACTTACATGAAGGTGAAGACCCAAAGACATGATGCAATCGGGTTCCCACAGTATTTTTTGTAGAGAAAAAGACGTTTGCTACAAACAGAACCCGGACTGGTCGTCGGGAATTAGTACCTCGTGGCCTCCCGGTCACATTCCTATGCATGTATAACAGCCCATAGCCAGCACCTTGCCGCATGTCGTTCTCTTGGTCTGCATGCAGTGCAATATAAAATGCCTCCAGGCATACATTTCATCAGTTTTTCGTTCTTACCCTGAAAATTCACAGGACTGACTCTGAACAGCGCTAACAGTTAGCTGATTGTTCTTTCCAAAGCATACGCATACCTGTAAGTTTCTGAATCCTAGAGATGGGAGCATTACGCGACGTTACCACTGACAGGTCCACGCATCACCATTCTTGAGCAAACTCAGAGATGAGAAGTCTATTCAGTCAGAGTTGGCCAGAAGCGTCCAGTCCATCCCTTGCCGATATAGAAGTGCGCCAGAAAGCAGAGGCATCTGCTGAGCAAGCCCGACAGGATGCTGCTGCTTCCAGAGCACAGATTGTCGAGCTCATCAAGTCGAATCAAGAATTGCAGCAAAAGGCTTTGGAGTTTCAGCAGGCCGCCTTGCAAGCCGCCGCAGCCTCACAGGATCAGGCCCACAAGGAAATGATGGCGATGGTCCAGGCCGAATGTGCGGCTGCCAGAGCACAGGTTGCTGAGCTCATCGAGTCGAATCAAGAATCACAACAAAAGGCTTTGGAGGCTCAGCAGACCGCCCTGCAAGCCGTGGCAGCCTCACAGGATCAGGCCCATAAGGAAATGATGGCAGTGGTCCAGGCCGAATGTACTGCTGCCAGAGCACAGATTGCTGAGCTCATCGAGTCGAACCAAGAATCACAACAAAAGGTTTTGGAGGCTCAGCAGACTGTCTTGCAAGCCACAGCAGTCTCACAAGATCAGGCCCATAAGGAGATGATACCGATGGTTCAGGCCGAATGTGCGGCTGCTAGAGCACAGATTGCTGAGCTCATCAAGTCGAATCAAGAATTGCAGCAAAAGGCTTTGGAAGCTCAGCAAGCCTCCTTGCAAGCCGCAGCAATCTCACATGATCAGCTTCATAGGGAAATGATGGCGACGGTCCAGGCCGAATGTGCCTCCAACGAAGCTCGCTTACTGGTAGGAGCTGCTGCTCGTACCGCCGGCGAAGAAGCAAGACAGAGAGCATCGGAAGCAGAGGACGAGCGTAAGCGAACTGCCGCTGTCCAAGAACAAGCCAAACGAGACACTCAGGCTGCCCAGGAGCAGGCCAAGAAACTACAGGAGGCTGCTAATGAGGAGAAGAAGAAGGCGACTGCCGCACAGGAGGCGGCCAACGCGTCGAAGAAAGCGGCAGAAGAACAAGTGAAGGCGGCCAATTTTGCCAAGAAGGAGGCTGAACGCAAGTTGAAAGAAGGCATTCAACCTGTGGTGACTCCCACGCCTGCAGAAGTCAGCGCCGCCAAGCGGAAAGTTCAATATCGCGAGGACCTTTTCCACTTCGCAGTAGCCGGGGTGGCAGGAGGAGGGAAATCATCTCTTATCAATGCCTTCCGCGGTTTGCGTGATAAGGACGCTGGATCTGCTGCCACTGGCGTCACCCAGACAACGCTAGCCATGGCCAGATACGCCAGCCCTAACGCGGAATACCCATATGTCTGGTACGATATCCCGGGCGCAGGCACGCTCAAAATCCCTGACTGGCAGTACTTCAACGCCCAAGGACTTTACGTCTTTGACTGCATCATCGTGCTGTTCGACAATCGGTTCACCATGACCGACATCGCCATCCTCACCAACTGCAAGCGTTTCAAGATCCCCACGTATATCGTGCGCTCTAAGGCAGACCAGCACATCCGTAACATCATGAAGGACATGGGGTACGACAGCGATGACGATGAAAACGGGGACCAGAGGAAGAAGGTTTACCAGGCTGCACGGCAGCAATTCATTCAGCAGATGCGCCAGATCGTGAAAGAGAACCTGGAGAATTACAACATGCCCGACCAAAGGGTTTACATCGTTTCGAACGAATCGATGTTCGGTGTTGTGAAGGAAAGGCAGCCGAGGCAGGTCATTGACGAGATTGAATTGTTGAACGACCTGATTGGAGAAGCCCAAAACAGGTGAGCACGCCGTGATGCTGAAGGGTGACTATGCAGGAGAAGCAGTCGGTGACAGTACAATTCTTCCTGGGCTCTTTAATTACTGATACTTCGTTCTTGGGATGATCGTGACCTATCTTGACCAGACTCGCAGTCGATGATAATACAGTTCTTCCTATATCTCTTCCTCTGGGGCTGACATTCTTATACATGTTCTTGCCGCTTGCGATCGACTGGCTTCCGCATCCCACTGAATACACCAATTACAATGGGTCCACAATTGAAATTTCTGGTATGAACCTAGAACTATGGTATCTCAAGACTTCTGATGCGACACGATCCTGCGCCTCCCACATCCAACTTCCTTGATCGAGGCAGTCGTGAATGGGGTTTATTTTGCCCCTTTTGAGATAGGGGCTTATGTATTAGAAAACCCCTCGAGGCAGCCTCTTCTGTTCTTCGTTGTGATCTGGTGTGAACCTATAGCACTCATTTTGAACTGACACCGTTAGGTTTTATTCCAGAAGCATCTTGATCAGTGAGTTTCCTCAACTCGAGAGATAGAAGTCATCATGCGACATGACGATTGACAGGTCCAACCATTCTGTATCGTATCGAGAATGGGAGCGTGGTTCAGTCAATTTTGGCCAGAGAAGCCTAACCCATCCCTTGTCGAGATAGAGGCACGCCAGCGTGCAGAAGCGGCAGCTGAGAAGGCTCGCAAGGACGTCGAAATTGCCCATGCGAATCAAGAATCGCAGCAGAAGGCTATGGAAGCTCAGCAAGCCGCACAGGCGCAGGCCTATCAGGAAATGATGGCGATGTTGCAGGCCGAACGTGCTGCTAGTGAAGCTGCACAAGCGCAGGCTCACGAGGAGATGATGGCGATGATCCAGGCCGAACGCGCTGCCAATGAAGCTCGCTTGAAGGCGGAAATTGAAGCTCATGCTTCCCGTGAAGAAGCGAAGCGAAGAGCAGCAGAGGCAGAGGATGAGCGTAAGCGAGCCGCCGCCATACAAGAACAAATCGAAAAAGAGACTCGGGCTGCCCAGGAGCATACCAAGAAACTAGAGGAGGCTGCCAACGAGGAGAAGAGGAAGGCAGAGGTGGCCATCGCACAGGCGGAGGCTCATAAGGAGATGATGGCGATGTTCCAGGCCGAACGTGCCGCCAACGAAGCTCGCTCACTAGCAGAAGCCGCTGCCCATGCCGCCAATGAAGAAGCGAAGCAGAAAGCAACAGAGGCAGAAGAGGAGCGGAAGCGAGCCGTCGCCTTGCAAGAACGAATCAAAGAAGAAACTCAGGCTGCCCGGGAGCATACAAAGAAAATGGAGGAGGCTGCGAAAGAGGAGAGGAGGAAGGCAGAGGAGGCGGCCAATGCGTCGAAGAAAGCGGCAGAGGAGAAAGTCAGGGAAGCAAATGTTGCCAGGGAAGAGGCCGAAGGCAAGCTGGCTCAAGGAATTCAACCTTTGGTGACTCCCACACCTGATGAAGTTAGCCACAACAAGCAACTAGCTCAGTATCGCGAAGACCTTTTCCATATTGCAGTAGCCGGTACGGCAGGAGGAGGTAAATCCTCCCTCATCAATGCCTTCCGTGGCTTGCGCAACAATGATATCGGAGCTGCTGCCACTGGTGTCATTGAGACAACGACGGCTATAGCCCGATGCCCCGATCCCAACCCGGACTATTCGTATGTCTGGTACGATGTTCCGGGCGCAGGGACACTTAAAATCCCAGACTGGCAGTACTTCAATTCCCAAGGGCTTTACATTTATGATTGCATCATCGTCTTATTCAACGATCGCTTCACAGCGACCGAGATCGCCGTTCTTACCAACTGCAGGCGTTTCAAGATCCCCACGTATATCGTGCGCTCCAAGGCAGATTCGCACATCCGAGACCTCATGAAGGACGAGGGGTATAACAGCGACGACGGCGGCGGGGATAAGAAGAAGAAGCTTTACCAAGCCGCAAGCCAGAAGTTCATTCAGCAGACGCGCCAGAGCGTGAAAGACAATCTGGAGAATGCAAAGATGCCTGACCAAAGGGTTTACATCGTTTCGAACGAAACGATGCTCAGTGTCGTGAAGGAAGAGCGGCCGAGGAAGGTCATCGACGAGATTGAGCTGTTGAGTGACTTGATTTGGGCAGCTCAGGCCAGGCGCCTAGGGTGCAGTGAAGCTCTTGTGGCGACTACTGTGAAGAAAATGCTGCAGTCTATACGTGCTAACAGTGGAATCTGAAGGGCCTCGTTACACATTTTCCAAATTTGTTTGGACCATTGGGAATTTGATTTGAAGGAATCTATGTTTTCCGTTCTTATCAGTGCTTCACTGCCGTAAATGAAACGAATAATGATTACAGAATTCTACATTCGAGATTGCTGGGATAAACCTAGAGATGAAAGGAATCGCGAGACTTCGAATGCAACACGGTCTTGCGCCTGCAACATTACCCAATGGCCAACATCCTCGATGGCAACGGTATTGAGTCGTGAGATGAATTTGTGCGCGTTTCGGACCGCTGACGGAGGACACGTGGCATCTTTGGTTCCATACAGGAAGAGAACAGGAAGATTCGGAGGTAGATGTACAGGTAGCTGAGCCTCTGGCTTGGGATGAGAAAAGAGTAAGACAGTGAACGAGTCGTATCTACCTTTCTCCTCTTCGAATCGCGTTTTCGTGGTTCGGTAATAAGACAAGGGCCCTCGCATGCCGCGTAGAAAACGAGAAACATAGAATTGTAATTCCTATCATGAAAATTGTTATCAGCATGAACGTTATCACGAACGATACATCATTACACGTTCATTGAGGAGGCAATCATCAGTAAAATTGATTTGCTTGTTAGTGATCAGTTCGTTCAACTTTGACCACGATAATGCCTTTTCAGGCGTTCTGAACGCTGAAGCGAGAAAGGGGACGAGCTTCGATCACCTAAGTCAAAGGCATAACATAAAAAGGAAGATGCACACGTTTTCCTCGATCTCAGATGTTGACGATTCGGACGCAAAATACACCTGATATCCATAGGATGGATATGCTCTGACCAATTCCTCGAGAGACACATATTGTTCTTTTGGAGGAACATATGGAATAGATAACCTGGGCATATCTCGTCTGTTGTCTCATCGAAAGCTCAAAAAATACGCACATGACCAGCGCTATCAACCGATCCGGATGCCACAGAGCAAATCTCCCAGCCATGTGTGAGCCCCAATCATGGCCAATCACCACCTGCGTTTCTCAAATTCAGCATATCGAGAGAATTGGTCCAGCAGATCGAACGAACGAACGGCTTTGGGTATCGCCAAGAAATCAAGAAGTGCAGAAATATCGTTGCAGATATTTTTCGGGGAATACGCTGAAGAATCATGGGGCATGTCGGTCTCGCCATAGCCTAGCATGTCTAGAACGATCACACGGAAGCCTTGTCGACACCATGGACCAATCTGGTACCGCCATCCGAACCTAATCGATGAATTGACGTTTCTAACGAGTGGGTTGATTATCGAGATTACCATGAATCAGGAAAGCCATGTAAACAAACTAGCGGTGGTTGGGTTGGATCATAGTTACTTGGGACTTGGTCAATGAAATGATAAAGGCGACCAGTAGAAATTTGAGCGGTGCGATGACTAAAAGTTTGAGGATCTGTTGGATTCATGATGGGAGTCAACGTGAAGGCAGTGTCGGCACCGCAGCTGGGAACTAAATCCGGCAAGTTCCAAGTCGCCTTTGTGAAATACTTCCAACACGCCTCTGCCTGAACTGCCAGTACATCGTCTTCCAACAACGTTATTCTCTCTTTCAGCTTCCCCGCATTTACCGATCCCTGAAATAACAGCCTTTTCCCTGATTTTTCACCGTTTTTTTTCTACTGCGAGAGTTGCAAATCTCAAACTTCATTCATATCACACAAACTACAAGTAAGTCTTCACACTTCCTTACGTTTTTGTCTTCGTGAATGCCACTGATACTCTTTCATGCAGTTCTTAATATGCCGGCTATCGTATCTCCTACCGTACCCTGTACAGATGTCTCTGCAAAGTCGAGGTCTTCTCCACAACCTCGCAAGACTCGCATGGTCAAGCCCAGGGGAAGGGGTAGAAACAATTTTGAGAGCGACGAGGAGTTCGAAAGAGAGGTCGCAACTGACTCCGAATCTGATGATGATCGTTCCTCAGTTGCCACTGAAACCGACTCCGACACTGAACCTGCCTCTGCAGAAGACATTGCTTCCAACGGCCATTCACACATTTTAACGCCCAATACGACTCAGAGTTCCGAGGATGTCCCATCGCTCCAGCACCGGTCAGTCAAAGACATCGATGGTGGCTCTACTCCTTTTTTCAGTGCCGCTGGCAACTGGTCGGAGATGGTCGCTGAGGAAACTGCCAATGGCCCTGCGGAGCTTCCAGTTATAGAGTTCGCAGATTTCAATAGCCCTTCTATCCCCCAGCGTACTTTGTCGGGACCAGTTCCGCGTAGAACAGGTAAAGCGTCAAAGCGCCCCCAGCCCAAGCGCGCAGTCTCAGCGCCTTCGTCTGACCGTGGTGCGGCGGCGCCTCAGCTCCCCCCTGTTCAAGCTGATGAGGAGGCCTCAGAGCCCGCAGATGATCAGCCCCAGGCGTCGACGTCCCGACAACAATCCCGAAATTCGTTCTCCAGGCCCCCTTCTGGACACAATGCTCGTCAAGCTTATCAGCAGAGACTAGAGGCGGACCCATCATATGTTCCCACTGTTGGTGAGTTTTGGGGCCACGATGATCGACTGTTGGATAAGGATCTTAGGAGCCTGAGTGGGTGGTGGAGAGGCCGCTGGCAGGGTAGGGGTCGCGGAAGAGGTGGTTTTGGTTTCGTGCGTGGTAGGGGCAGAGGAGCCTTTACCGGCCCAGAGTCTAGTCGTCCTGTACTAGAAACCTCTGGATCTCAAGAGACAGAGAAACCCCCAGTTGAACCGTCCCTTATTGACCAACCGTGGACCCACGACGGTTTCGAGGAGATGAAGAAGCGAGATGAAAAGAGGCGTGCAGCTGCACCACATCAACAACAGCAAGCAGCAAGGTCTACACGAGGTTTCTTGCCATTTCGTGGCAGGGGTGGACTTATTACCGGCCGCGGGCGTGGCGGTCTTGCACGTGGCGGTTTCACGCCTTCACCGACTGGAGCACACTTCATTCCTCCTGCTGCCGCTGCCGCTGCATCAGGCAGAACGTGGTATGCGATGAAGCCCGAACGTGTCTGGACAAAGCAACACGAGGGTTTCCTGTTTTTCGACCCCACCTTGAAGCCTCGTCCCGGTCAAGGTCCAGGCCATCGGGTCAAGCTCTCTGGCAATGAAGGGAAGATTGTCAGAAGCTCTGCTCGAACCACTCAAGTAACAGAGCCTGTGCCATCTGTGGCTGCACCTTCAGAGGCGAGTGAGAAGACATTTATCGTGCGTCTACCCAAGAGGGCAGGAAAGGAGAAGGCACCAGAGCCGACTCCTGAGGTTGTTGAGACTAGCACTACCGCTGCAGATCCTCCTATCGAAGATATCTTCACAGTTCGACCGGAACTCGTGCCCCCAAGGCAGCCCATTCCAACTTCGCAATCAGCTTCGCCTCTGGCCAATGACCATGTACCTTCTACACCGGTATCTGTTGTGCCTTCCACACCTGCTGTGCCAACTCCTTCATCACCTGATGCCTCGAAAGAGAATATCACGTCACCTCTTTTGCAGCAAATAATGCGCGCAGCCGCAGATCAGCAGGCCAAGGAGACTGCAGATGTGCCAAACGGCATATTGCAGGAGCAGTACGACCAGAATGTGCCTGCTCTCCTCCAAGTCGAGCAACCCGCAACGAACCCGGATACTTCTGATGCCGTCCGTTCATCGATACCTCCACCCCTGCAGACTGTGTTCCCGCCGCCATCACAGCCCTCGCCTCCGTACGGATCGCCGTATGGATATGGCTCTCCTCTACCGCCCGGTGTGGCCATCGGCCACCATGGTATGCCGTATGAGATTGCCACGGGCCGAGCAGTGTATCTGCAACACCCGACAATGTACACTCCGCGCCCGTTAGCCCATGGCATGATGACACCGCCAGGGCTTCCATATACTCCTATGCACCATAATTCTGCTAGCTCTCCGGATTTCCTTGCGCCATCACACACACCTCCCATTAATGGTTATATTGACCCATCAACTGGCAATCCGCTCTTCGCGTTCCCTCGCCAGAGTTCTCGCATTGAGATCCGACCGCCAACCACTCATTCGGATCTCAAGCAGTTGAAGAGTAGGCGTCGGCCTTCCAGTTTGAGGACGAGTGCAGCCTCATTTGAGCCTTCGCGTCCCGCAAGTCCCAATATTGAGTCACAGGCATACCAGTCACCTGAAGATCATTCTGCACAGGATGATGCAAATTCAAGTCAAGCCAATGACCAAGTGATGCCAGAGCAAGCAATGGAGTCCACCATGTACGGGTACCCGCCATATCAACAGCAGTACTACTATCCAGAGCACTACGGGTACTCCCAGTACTACGACATGTCTCACGTTCCACAGTACGAGATGTATCCCACCGACCCACATGCTTCTCAAGTCTACTACTAGTACTAATATGTTATATCTTCTGATGCTGTTGTTTTTCTTCTGTTCTTGCTTTGGGATACATACGTACACCGCTATCCATGACCGTTTCATTACTCACGATCTTGACGTCCTCAGGTCTCAGCAGTTACCCTCACAGACTTCATATTGCTCCAATGCGTTCTTTACTTTACTCATGCTGTTTCACTTGTGTTTCTCTTACTGCAATACTTCTCGGGTCTTGAATATGATATTGGCTTGTTGACACTGTTGTTGTTGAACATTTTACTCATGTAGTTGCTTGCAATGCTCCATTTCTTCCCCACTCACACTGTCAGTATTACTCATGCCATCTGTAAGGCCGTGGTAAGAAAGGTACCAAATATGGAAGTGTACACGGATGTTAGTCATCCATTGACATTGGTCATCAAGCCTGTTTTCTGCGTGACACAGCAAGTAGCACTTTCTGTCCTAGACCACCACCATCACTCACCACGGGCCTTGGTCGGGCTCATCAGATTGAAAATATTGGGCTGTATTTCTCAATCAAGTGGTATGTAACAGCGAGCTAATGTCTAATTCCGTGAAAAAGCTATATTACTCCCATAATTAGATACGTTTTAGAAAGAAACACGTTCGTTGTATTCGACGCGGCTCAGACCGCTATCCAGTCTCGCAGAAACCGCACACGGGATCTTGCAGCCAGTCATTAGGATGGCATTCGCTCAGCCTTTCCCACTCGCAGCAGCAGCCCAAAAAACACAACAACCGGCGTTCGGTCCTGACTTAGCCGTGCGTCTCATTTGCCCAGAGTGCAGAGATCCAAATCCAAATATTGTCGAAGAGTTTGGGAGCGGGGATCTTGTGTGCGGAAGCTGTGGACTGGTCCTGGGTGATCGTATTGTTGATACAAGAAGTGAATGGAGGGTGAGTCTTATTGTCTCCTTTATTGTTGCGATAACCCTGCACCTATTATTATATGTCTAGACATTCGCAAACGACGAAGGCGATGATCCTTCTCGTGTTGGTGCTGCGTCGGACCCTCTATTGGAGGGTATAGAGCAACTAGATACGCTCATCAGTTTCCGTGATGGTGGCACGGGAATTGCACGCGAGCTCCAACGTGCGGCTTCTCGCTCCCAGAGCTCCCGCTCCGAGCGGAATCTTCTTACCGCGTTCCGCGACATTGGCAGCTGGTGCGATCAATTCTCGCTTCCCAAAACCATCAGCGATATTGCCAAGCAGCTATACAAGCGCTCAGATGAGGAGAAGCTTCTTCGTGGAAAACCCCTCGAGGCTGTCATTGCCGCGTGTATATTTATCGCGTGCCGCCAAGCCCACGTCCCTCGTACATTCCGCGAGATTTGTAACTTGACCCACGTGTCGAAGAAGACGCTTGGACAGTGCTACAAGGCACTTGAACAGGCTTTCAATCTTTCCCCGGGAGCTACTGCACAGGTCAATGCGAATGGAAGCAACCCGTCCACTGGCCCCGAAAACTTGCTTGTTCGTTACTGCAACCACCTTGACCTTCCTGCCAATGTCCAGTCTATTTGCGGTGATATCATTGTCGCAGCACGTCAGCATGGCGTTGCGGATGGTCGCAGTCCGGTTTCTATCGCTGGCGGAGCGATTTACTTTACTTGCCACTTACTAGGGAAACCCAAGTCTTCCCGAGATATTAGTGTAGTTGCTGGTGTCAGTGAAGGCACCATCAAGTTGGTGTATAGGTTGTACTACTTAGAGAGGGAGAAACTGGTGAAGGAGGAATGGATTAAAGAAGGGAGGGCAGACTTGGAGAGGCTTCCTGTTGAGCGGTAAAGGGATGTAACCACCCTTTGTATACCGATTTGTTACGGATATTGAATTGACAGTGGTACTTATAATGATCAGCGTAGTCATTTGACATGACAGACTGCTCGTGTAAATGAGTGACATACTAGGCAATACTTTTAATAGCTAGCGTTTACCGCCCCGTTTTCCCCTTGCTCCTTTTTTGTTGGCTTCACGAGCAAGAGCAACACCACCTCTGCCCTTGCTTACATTCCGTATTGCCTTCCGTACGTTGAGAACGTCATCGCCTGCGCCTTTCTCCTTTCTTGCTCTCTTCACATCGCCATCTAACTTCGACAGCACGGCAAGTGATGCCTGTTTTTCTTGTTCGACACATGTTTCTGTAGCCTCGAACTACAGACAGTGAGTCGCATGCAGAGATGAGGTGTGATGTTCCGAGACTTACCTTGCGCTTGACACCTTTCAGTTTCTTCTCTCCATCAAGCTTGTTGTCGAATCTGCCCATGCTTGCAGTGCTTATTCGAGTGGTAGCCAGTGTCCTCTCAATATCCTTTTTACGTTCGTCCCGACCACCAGTAGCGGTTTGTGCACGAGCATGATTTTGGAGCCGCTGTCGCTCATTTTTGGCGACCCTTGATGTCCGTACATCACGGGCGGCTTTGACAGGGTCGTGGTCCACGGCTAAAGTGATGATTAGATGAGCTTCATTCAAAATAAAAATAACAACACGCACGAGCATCAGCCTTGACTTCATGAATCCATTGTTCCTCCTTCTCCTTATTTTTACCATCCCTACCCCAGCGGTTGACCCACTCCTGTCGCTCTTCATCCCACACCTTCTTTTCACGCACCCGCTTCTGGATACCCTTCGCAGCGGCGAAGCGCTCCCATTTTGTCGGTGGTTTGGGCTTGGGAAGTGGTTTGGCACGAGGGAGTTGTGTTGTTGGTGGAGGAAGTTGGGCAAGTGGGCCGTCTGGTGATGGTTGGGTGGGCAGGCCATAGAGTGCTGCTACTAATGCTTGGATGCCATCTCGAGCAGTCACCTGTAGGTATTCTTCAAGATTTGATCTAAAAAAAATATGTGGATTACAGTTCAATGTAATGATCCAAACAAGCGGTCGTACTTGTAACTATCCTCGTCGATTGGGGTGAGGTCTGTGACAGTCAGGAAGCCAATGTCTACGTCGAGAGGTGTCTCTTTCTCGACCGTAACAGACTGACTGCGTAAAAAGGTGAGTAATTATTGTACAAACAAAAAGAATCGTACAATTTTGCAGCATGTGATGCTAGGATATTTGAGACGTCCATCGTTTGCACGAAAATACTGAGTGATCAATGTTATGCGCTTATTTAGCAAAAGCTTTAGATTTCAATAAAGCCAAATAACACAACACATGCCGCATGCCTTCAAGTCCCGTCGTGCCACTGTCGAACAAGCTTGGAATCCCTTTGCACATCCTCCAGAGTACAACACTAATTCTCCGTCAAAAGGCAGGCCATGAAGACTGAAAGCGAGGCTCCGAAGACCCCAACGCCCACGCAAACTCACGCTCAAACATCGTATACCGCACAATGGGGTACAGCACGTATGTGCCGTTGTCCAAACGTCCCCTGCAGTGACCATTATTGAATTTATATAATCTAGATATACCAATTGATCCTGCACTTCAGCAGCAATCTCAACATGCCACGTCAAGCTGTCTCTTTGTTCCTCTCCGTCCGGATACTCAATATATCCATCTTATCCAGAACAACTCCATATTCCTACCAGTACACTCACCATTATCCTCAAGCCGCATATTCGCATTATTCATATGTTCCACAACAACCCCAAGTACAGAGGCCACAGGCCTCAATAGCTCCTGCAACAGCAGCAGCTACCCAGCCCGCAAATGCGAATAGTGGGATGGATACCTCCGACGTGGCAACGTTGAATGATGCTCTTGGGAGCGCTGGTGTTGATCTTCGGGTGCGTTACTACTGGCAAGATATTGGTTTCGGTAGTAACTATTCCGTAGGCGGAGGAGGAAAGCCTGCAGAGGTCCCATGACTCGCATCAGTCATATCGAACCTTCGAAGACAGATCACGCAAACAACCGACTACTCCTTCCTTCGACACACGCTTCTTGGGTACCACCATGCGCTCTATTGGCACGGAACACAAGGTGACAAAAATCCCCGAAGACTCGGTGAATTACTTGGCGATTGCCCTCCGTGCCCGCCTACAAGACCTCGTTACTACGATGGTTGCCGCAGCGAACCACCGTATGGACACCCAGTTTGACCGTCCGGCATGTCCATATGAGAACGGCACGCCGATGTGGAGCATAGTCGTACAGAGCGATGTCGCTAAGCAACTAGCTGCATTGGAAAAGATTGAGCGAGAGGAAGAGATGAAAGTTCGAAGAGAACGCAAAGAGCGCGCTGATATGGCTGCTGCACATGCTGCTAACCTCGCCGCGCAAGCGTCAGGCGGCAATGCCATGGCCGTAGACGGAGACGAGGAGGGAGGTACGAAGAAAAAGAAGAAAAAAGAAGGACCAGGTGTAACGGCGAGGAATATGTCTGAAGATGTGCGTAAAAAGATGTCGAACGCTGTCGCAAGTCAGGCTGCTGGAATTAGTTCGAAATATTCATGGATGAACGCTGCAAATGCCTCTACGGCCGCTGCCAAACCGAAGCCTGCAGCAACTTCGACCGCTACAACAAGTACAGCTACCACTACGACCCCTGCGACTACCACAGCTCCTGCAGCGTCAACAGCTCCAGCAACTTCATGGGCGCGGCCGTATATAGGGGGGAAGAAAGGCAGTCCGACATCACCACAAACAGGAGAGGACGATGATCGGATGTTAATCACAATGCGTGATGCAATGTTTGCCGTCGAGAAGGAAAGGGGTCATGGAGGAGGTCGCGGATCCGCTCGTGGATGGTCATAGCCATTTGTACTTGCTTGTGTTGTTTAGATCGTCCGTTTCGCTGGTCGCTTGTTTTCAATGCACCCATTTCGTGTCTGCACTTGAGCTCATTTTCATCTCAAGCATTATTTGCATCACAGTAATAGGACGGTGCTGGCGCCATGGCGAAATCGAAACGATGAATGCAGATTGCCACTTCCGAGATATCGTAGCGCGTTTGCGTATACGATAACATTGTTTACATTGACAGGCAAGCAGGTCACAAGCACATCTTCCGTCGGACGATATTCATCAGTATCCCAGTGACAGCTCTGCTCTGGGATCTGATGAGTGTTTTCATTTAGAGGTCCAGGACCAGAATAGTAAGTATGCTACTAACTTGAGATGTTGACATGTTGTCGAAACCTTCTGGATCAAACAAGAACAAATAAATCCCAAGTTAACGACTTCGATTCGACTCCGGGAGGAATTCGGCCGGTCATACTGGTCGACGGCGTTGTGCCAAGGTTTCGCAGCAGTGACGCTTGCCTGAAAGCAGATCTCAGGCGATGGTCGCTACACAATAACACTCGCGTTGCTCGACCTCAATACTCCTCCAAATTCCTGTCCGTCAGTCATTTATCACAATTATCTTCCGAGCAACATCGTTCGTGCGTGGGGAGAAAGAGTGAGATAGAAGTGTACCCTCCTCTTTTTAGCGATACGATATCATCCGAGTCGAGTTAGGCATTTCACTTACCTCCTGGAGCCACATCCAAGCTTCACTACGTTGACCCTCACTTATGTTCCTGACCGTCAGGCCTGCATCATTTAGAAACGTCACTCTGCGCTCGGGTATCGAAGAGGATTGAGCTCGCAATTCGTCATGGTCCAAACTACACTTACATTCTTAGTCTCGGACCCACACCAACACCGCCCATCCGGTACATTTTCCCTCTTCTTCTACCACTCTCACAGCCTGCCTACATCATATGTCAACATGGTGGCCATTTCGTGCATGCCATGCACTGTCTATTGTGGATACTTTTCTATCAGGCAAACAGGTGTGGTGATTTTTTTTTGGCCGTCATTTGCATTCGCAGTGCATCGCTGTAGCGGGTGTTCCTATTAATGATGATGGCTGGATACATAACGAGGTCTTCGATATTCCTTTGCCTTATTTCAACGCGCACAGACAAAGACTGGGAATGATGGCCCAGGGGCCATTTTATGTTGCTGCTTCAAATAATCTGATTTTGCGTATGTTTTCCTATATTTGGATGTTGATTATCGTCGCTTGTCGCATTCTTATCCATGAATGTGGGCCGCTGATATGTTATTACTCCTTGATGGCATCTTAGTTTATCAACGACGTCGGCGTTTGTAATTGTATGATCAGAATTTATCTATCGAATGCTAAAATTACGCTGCCAGATGTCGGGCTTTAATGTGATTCGCAAGGTTTCATAATGCCGTCGGCCTTGCAGATGCGTCTATTTCTTTAACTTCGCCGCGTCACCCCTCTCTGACTATCAGCCGTAGCCATGTTCGTTCTTCCACTCCACGTTCGAGGGCTTGTCGTCAGAGTCCTAAATTTCTTAAATACACAGCACCTTGTATAGATGGTTCTATAAACTGGAAGGTGGGAAATGGAAATCACTAATGGACGCTTTCCACAGAGAAACTTTGGATATGGCTGTGTGCCACCAAACAAGGAGACAAAATTTATCAGCATTGTGTAGCTGTCCTCGCATCCAATAATCAATCGTTCTTCCTCCACGAGCCAGCCCCTTGGTAACATGAAAATCTCATCTCAACTTGCAGTGCCGATGAACTAATGATGAGCTTCAAACAGGCAAAGTGACCGCCCATCTTCAAAATCGCCATTAGCTTTAGGCCTATCGCGCACTAGGAATCTCGGCGCTATTCCTTCGAACACATTCACATAATCCGAAACCCATTCTTAGCTACTTGCCTTTGTCACACCCGATGTCGCATGGCCTGGTTTCAACATCGATACAGCACGCCGCTGCAGCAAACAATATCGTTCTGAATCCGATAATGACCCTGAAAGGGCATGACAAGTATATTCGGTCGATATCCTACTTTCCGGATGGCCGGCGAATGATCAGCGGTTCTTGGGACAAGACTACTCGGCAATGGGAACTACAGGAAGGTAAGGAGATTGAGGAAGCGCACAACGTTTGTGAACGGGGAATTTGGGCGGTGGCGGTATCCAGGGATGGACGATGGGTTATCACAGGAGGCGGAGGTCTCGGTCATGGGGAGCTCAAAGTCGTTGAGGTTGAGACAGGAATTGTAAAAAAATTCGAAGGTCACTCACGAGGGATCAGCTGCATAGATATCTCCCCAGACAGCAGGCTCCTGGCGAGCGGATCATGGGATCGCACCACGCGAATATGGAGCTTGGGCACTGGTGAACTCGTGGCTGGTCCATTCGAGAGTATTGATTGGGTGGGCGCGGTTCGTTTTTCGGCAGACTCAAAGAAGCTTGCAGTGAAGTCAGAGGCAGGGAAGTGCCTTGAGGTGTGGGATCTCCGCACAGAGACTTTGGACGTTAGAGTTGGGGAATTTGGTGAAATACCCTTCACATCTGCGCCAGTGTTTTGGACAAACAGAAACAAAACTATCATGGCCGCATTCACCTTCACGTTCGATGATGCGACAACGATCTATGAGTTCGACGCGTTGACACTGGAGACTGTCGGAGCCCCCTTTGAAGGGCATACCAAGATTGTCTGTGGTCTAGCACTTTCATTTGATAATACTCTCCTCGCCAGTGCTGCGGACGATAACACAATCAAGCTTTGGACCTTCGAGTCCCGCCAGCTCCTTGCATCCTTCAATGCTCGGACTCCCGAAACCCTTATCCTTTCACCCGACTCCAGTCAACTGGCTTACACAACAGGTCGCAAGATCTGTATATGTAACATTCCACTCAACATCCTAGCCAGTATCGGACGTGCACTTGAAGCACGGGGAGGTCACGATGTACGCATTCGCCGCATATATTATCATATGTGCACCAACATTTCTTTACAGGGCAGCGCAGACAAAAATTCAAGGCTCAATCGCCTGCTGAATGTTCGTATTTCATGCCTTTTTTGTTTACACAACTTATACATTGCCGTCATTGCAGTCTCACGCAACCCGTCGTCCTCCTGCATTTGGCCGTCACCGAGCGACATCGCCAGTTATATTGTTCGCCAACAGGCCGCACAGACCTCCGCCTGAAATACACCCGGAGCAGCCCGTTTTACTACATCACCTCCGCAATTTTTTTCGCTTCTCTTCTCGTGCAATCGCCGTTCCTCCTATCTGGAAAGATCAGGCTCATGATCCACTAGATGTGTGTTTTTTTTTGAATTATTCACTGTTAGGTTGATGATCTCCCGCCAGTTCTCCGCCATACCCTCCAACCGTGTTCTCTTGGGACAGGCCAAAACTCACTTTGATGATGTATGTCAGTGTCCACTTTTGATGAACACTCGATGCATTATTGACTACACGTTCAGGTCGAAGCTATTTCTATGCCCTACCACTCTGCATATGGCGGCTCACAGCACGCACAGCAAGCACATCCTAAGGAGGAAATTTTGCACCTCTCGAACAGAGCTATGCAGTTCCTGCAGCAGCACTTATCCTTCTGTAAGACAACGATCGTCCACGAGCCACCGGTCGTTGATGTCGCAGCTGGACGCAAGTTCACGGTAATGTGGATATTCTAACCTCTCCTTCCTTGTTTGTTGATCGGTGCCCTACAGCGGCTTGCTGCTGCCAATTTACCTCAATATAAGAAAGTTGACGACACCCGACATTCATCCAAACAGCAGCCTGAGGTGCTGCACGACACCGAGTCCGGTGACATTGATTCACTCCCAGACGTGCATTGGTGCAAGGCATTCTTCTGCTACTATTCGTGCTGGTCTCATGGCAGACTGAGGATCCCTCCGCGATGGCACTTGGAGAATGTGGACCCACCTCAACAGCATGGCATGACGAGAACCGTTCGTGGTGGGGCTCGCTGTCACAACTAGTCTACTTGTGTTCGTCGAATGTTCTTTTAAATTTTGAATTCGGAAGATGATAGAGATTGTCTTTGTAGATCTCAGTGCACCACATATTAAAAACAAACATCGTGAATTGAAAGCTGCCCCCACTCATGGTGTTTTGATCTTCAGGTTACTTCCAATGATTGAAGTGAGGTACAAATCGTCATAATCGTTTCGCAGTTCTCGTCTCTCCAGTTGAGCATACTCTGGCATCTATCGATGATTCGATCGACGTCAGCCCCTCCTACTGAGAACTGCAGAGCTGCAGGCGCCGAGCACTTAAGTACGACGTTGAAAGCAAAGATTGCCTAGGCGCAGACAATGTGCACCAAGACACTGTCTGCGGTTATCTTCTGACCGACTGAGGAGTCTTCCGCATTCAGTCACGTTGCAGCAGGCTCGACTTGGCACAGCGCTCCATCCCAGATCAATGTTGAGATGAAGCCAGGCGCACCAGATATGGGAAGTCAATGGTCACGATGGACTGGCGCGGCTGGCAACGCGCCTGCCTCTGGCAGATGGAAGCCGGTATGGCCTCAACCTAATCATCATATGACAGATGCTTAGTACTACAACGTCCGAGGGACCTGACTAAGCTATGCAAAGGATGGCAAACACCCGCCTGCACCGTGACTGGTCACTGCAAGTCTGCAACGAATCAAGGAAAGCTTTCATCTTTTCCCGAGAACATGGAGTGGACAAATGCATATACATACCGTCGACGGTGCGACCTTTTGTAATGGTAAACCAGTTCTAACAGACTGATTAGTGCGAGATTGGTGTTCAAACGCAGAAATCTTTGCGGCGGTTGTGAACCCAAAGCAAGACGCGAAATCCCACTACAGGCTCTAGCACTGCCATGCAGCAGGGACGCGTTAACAAGCAGTCATGACAGCTGTGCTCACTGAGTCACTCTTTTTACTAGCCTTGTCATGGCAACATCAAACTCCCAGTTCCAAACTCTTAACGCACAGATAAACTACGACTCACTATACTGTCGAGCGAGTCGAACATCATCAAAATCGTACATCAGGCAGACAACACACGAGGAAAGCGCACCCCGCCAGTGCTCATCCAAAGACACGTTCCCCAAACTCGGCTCCTTTCGAAAACATAGACCATGGCTTCTACATCAACAAAACCCGCGGCTGCACAAACCAATATGAGTCTGACACCAGTACTGACCTTGGAGGGACATGAAGAGCATGTTCAATCCATATCATACTTTCCAGATGGCAAGCAGATGGTCAGCGGATCAATGGACAAGACTGCCCGAAGATGGGATCTGCAGAAGGGTAAAGAGATTGAGGAGGTGCGGCATGTTTGTGAGCGGGGAGTCATGTATGCCGTTGTGGTATCAAAGGATGGTAGATGGGTTGTCACTGCCGGTGGAGATTTTAATCACACTGGTCCTGGGGAGATCAAAGCCTATGAGGTTGAAACGGGGGTCATTAAAACGTTTCAAGGTCACACACGAATGGTCACTTGCATCAACTCCTCTGCAGACAGTACACTACTGGCAAGCGGGTCATGGGATGGCACAGCACGAGTATGGAGCTTGCGCACCGGCAAACTGGTGGCTGGGCCATTCGAGAGCATTGATTGGCCGGGCGCAGTTCTATTTTCACCAGACTCGAAGAAACTTGCAGTCAAGTCAGAGACTGGGAAGTGCATCGAGATTTGGGATGTCCAGTCACAAAAATTGGATACCAGAGTAGGGGGATTCAAGTTCGTCGGCAAACCCTTCACATACACACCACTTTTCTGGACAAACAAAAACAAAAACATTCTGGCCGCGTTCAGCTTCACAGATAACGATGTTCCCAGTATGATCCATGAGTTCGACGCGACGACACTGCAAACTTCTGGAGATCCTTTCGAAGGGCACACCGAGATTATCACCGGATTAGCACTTTCATTTGATGGTGCTCTCCTGGCCAGTGCTTCCAATGACAACACCATCAAGCTCTGGGCATTCCAGTCCCGCCAGATCCTCGCCTCCTTTAGGGTCCAAAACCCTTTCTGCCTTGTCTTTTCACCTGACTCACGCCAGCTGGCTTATACTACCCACGCCGAGAAAAAAAAAGACAATAATATCTTTATATGCAATACTCCGGCCAGTATACTTATTCGCCGCTCTAATCGATATTGTTCATGCGCTAATATTCTCTTACAGATCAGTGCGCATATGAAGTCTGGCCCCGGTGATCTACTGAAGGTATCTCATTTTCAAGTTTCTATTCGTTATACCAGTCACCCATCGCCATCATTGCAGTCTGATGCAACCCATCGTTTGGCTGCGACGCGCCGTAATCCGTCGACATTGCCCGTCATTGCCAGACCGCCAAGATCTTTACCTGCAGTAGACCTACGGCAACCCATTCTCCTTCGCATCCGCAAACTCCTTCACTTGGGTCTTCCCGTTCAAAATGGTCAGCCTCTTGATCCTCTAGACGTACGTTTCATTATCCTGTTTAACTTTTACGGTTCACTCAGTCGCGCTGCAGTTCCCTGCTACGTTGCCTCTACCCCCAAACTTGCGGCATTCAAGTGTAGATTCTCGTGAGAATGTGAGCCTCTGCTCATGCAATCATTTTTTAACTCATACTGTTTCAGTCTCGAGTTACACCAGCATTGCCCACCACCCAATCCTCTTTCGCCGCCTCCACTATCTTCACAGCACGCCCAAATCCCCTTCGTGCTGCCCGGTCTCTGCCATCTGTCGTTAATGTTCCTCACGCTCAGGCTAAAGAGGTGTGCTCAGTTGGTTTTTTTTTCATCGAACTGGAAGTCTCATGGATTGATTGCAGCGCAACGCCGCAGCGGGTGCTCCCAAAAAAGACAATAATATAGTACCTGATGAATATCTCGACCCTCCATCACCACATCCTGATTCACAAGAATCGACTACTGCAGTACAATCCAACACCGGAGAGCATGGGGGTGATCCGCGGTCATGTTCTGTTTGTAGGTGGTTTCGTTGATATCCTTCGCGCATATTATTATGGTCGTATCTTTTTCATTATTTATGAATGTAGACCGTTGTATGTTTGCATTTCTTATCTCCACTATGGTTCAGGAGTCCAGGACATTGACGAGATGCGTGTAACATCGTTGGTAACTTGCCGACGACTCACAAAGTAAGTTCTATTGGGCTGGTAGCCCGTGAGAAACGGAAAGGAAATGTGCGTAAGGAACGTTGCAACTTTCATGGGTGTACGTACTACGAACCTAGCAGAACGTTCCGAGTAACGCCGCAGAAACCTTCGCCATGGCACCAGGGACATTAAGGGATATCACGCAGGGTCCGTAGCAGGGACAACCTGCCAAGCGCAATGTGCACAATTGATGCCTCACGTTCAACCTCTTCCTAACCTCTTAGCAACATCAAACCCTCATATCAACTTCCAACAACTCAGGCTGACGATCAGCTCCAAGTCTAGGAAGAAAAGTGCTCCTAACTGAGTTGGGAATCTCAACAACTGCTACTATCAACAGCAGGCCTGCGGGCCGCATCAGTACACGACTCGGAGAACTCACCGCTACCTCTTCAGACACTCTTATCTAAATAATCCCAAGAAGCTGGCTACTTACAAATTTCGTCTGCAAAAACACGGGCAATGGCACCTACATCGACACAGCCTCTGGTTTTAGCGACCAGTATGAGTCTAACACCGGTAATGTCATTGAAGGGCCACGAACGAGGTGTTTCATGCATGTCCTACTTCCCAGATGGCAAGCAGATCATCAGCGGTTCTGGGGACAAGACTGCTCGAAGATGGGATTTACAGAAGGGCAAAGAGATTGTGGAGGCACGAGATGTTAGCGAAGAGGGTGTGTATGTGGTGACGGTGTCAAGGGATGGTCGATATGTTGCCACTGGCGGTGGAGAGATGGATACTGGGGAGCTCAAAGCCTGTGAGGTCGAGACGGGGATCGTGAAAGCTTTTCGAGGCCACTCAGAGAGAGTTGCCTGTGTTGATATCTCCGCAGACAGCACACTGCTGGCGAGCGGATCATGGGATACTACAGCGCGAATCTGGAGCTTGGACACAGGTAAACTCGTGGCTGGTCCATTCGCGATCCTTGATTGGCCGGGCGCAATTTTATTTTCACCAGACTCGGAGAAACTCGCAGTAAAGTCAGAGGTGGGGACTTGCCTTGAAATCTGGGATGTCCACACAGAGACTTTGGATATCAGAGCAGGGAAATCTGGTGGCAATTCGAACATGGCATTTGCGCCAATGTTCTGGACCAACAACCTGAAAAAGAGAACCATCGTAGCAGCATGCAACTTCGTGAATGATGAAGAAGCTACAACGATCAATGAGTTTGACGCATTGACTATGGAGATTGTTGGAGCTCCCTTCGAAGGCCACACCAAATGTATCACCGATCTAGCACCTTCATCTGGGGGTGCTCTCCTCGCTAGTGCTTCCCAAGATCATAGCATCAAACTGTGGGCCTTCGAGTCCCGCCAGCTCCTCGCCTCTTTTCATGTTCAGGATGTCAATTTACTCATGCCCTCACCTGACTCACGCCACTTGGCTTACACCATCACTGGCTGCGACATCTATATATGCAACACTCCACCCGCTGTACTAACTGCGCTGGAAGCGCAATCCACCCTCCAAAAAGTGTGTCCTTGCGCAAAGTCTATCTTCTGTACACTGACCTACTCTTTAAGTCCAATAAAACTCTTGAACATTTACTTCAGGTATGTGCCACGTACATTTTGAGCAATCTATTAATTCTCATGAATCATTGCAGTCAGATGCCTGTCGTCCTGCTGCAGTGCGTCGTAACCCAGGGACGTTGCCTGCCACATCCTTCACCCCCAGGCGGCAAAGACCTCCAGCTACCACAGACCAGCAACAACCAATTTATCTTCGCCTTAGCAAGCTCTTTCACTTCTCTCGTCAGACCAATCAACCTCGTGATCCCCTAGATGTAGGTCGTTTATGTTGGTTCTTTCACAGCTGACTCAACAATAGTACCGCAGTTCCCTGCTACGCTACCTCTACCATCCAATCTATCTCTCTCGCAGCAGGCCGCAACTCAGGTCGATGATGTCAGTCTTCAATTTTAGTAAACTCGTAATGTATGACCGACTCTGTATTTCCAGTTTGAAATAAGTTCCCCGCCTTACTCCTCAAACGGAGTTGCACAATTTCTGCGGCAGCACCTTCCTTTCCTCATACCCAGACATAGCCATGGGCCACCGGTCGTTGAAGTTGCACCCGGGCGGAAAGTCACTGTAACGTAGATATTCTCACATCTCCTTCCCTTTTTCTCATTAGAGCCCTACAGCGTCTTGCTGCTGCCAAATTACCTGAATACAGGAAAGTCGACGATACACGACATCCTTCTAGCCAACAGCCCAGGGTACCGCAGGATGTTGAATCGTCTGACGTTGATTCACTCCCAGACGTGCATTGGTTCAAGGCGTTCCTTTGCTATTATTCATGCTTTTCTCATGGTAGACTGAGGATGCCACCACGATGGCACTTGGAGCGTGTTGACATACCCCGCCAGGATGGCACAGCAGGTAGCGGACATAGTGGTAGTTAGCTCAATGCGCACACGTCTAGTACCCTTGGATATTCTCAGTCTTCTATACCAGTACGCTTTGCTGTCACTACTTCTTCTTCATCTGAGTGTTCAGACAGCGGAACTCTGCAAACACGTAGAATCAGCTGTCTGGGCACTTGCATTGATTCTCGTTGTATTCCAATATTGAACATCAAGGACCGGGTTGGTCGCTAGATGTTCCGAATAATTCCAGCTTACCGCTTGGTGCTGGCATGGGTGGCTATACTCGTTCCAGTATTGATGTAACAAGACAAAGGTTTGCCTAGACCTTCTACATATATGAAACAGCATAACTTGAATAAATACTGAGAGAGATCCTTGGGGAAATTTCTCTACACAATACTGCTAGTCGGTACATGTACACGCTCCTCGAAAACAATCGGATTCATGCTAGTTTCTGCGTCGGAATCTGCCACGAGTTCCACGTGATATTCTCGAATGCTAATAAGACGAGCGACTCATGCTATTTGGCACTGTGCCACGTTGTGGCGCCATGGATGGGAAAATAATCTTACATTCTCTCCGTATTCGTCCAGAATGTATCGTACAAGAGTGATTGGTTCTATCGCAGAAAATGAATTGGTACAAATGGGTAGGGTATCACAGCCAGTCATGAAACGATGGTGGAATATTTTTCATCAAAATTGCTAAAAATGCAAAATGTCAACTGGATGGCTCTCGAAATGAACGCGTATATGCACTGGAACTTCTACCCACCACCCCGGTGAGCGCTTAAGCTTCATCGCCAGGGAATCCACTTGACTTTGCTTGGGCAGGCAGCCTCAGATTCCGTATTCCTCCACAATACTAACAAGAGCACCTCTCCAGTAAGATACTAAAAAACATCAAAAGTGTCAAAAGTGAGATTTTCTATGTTTTTGTTCTTGTAGCAGGATCCTATGTGTGTTCTGGGCCAGCTATATGATAGATCTACTCCAAATATACATAGAAATAGACCCCTCACCTCAATTAAGGTCTGGTCCTGCAGGAAAAAATTTCACAGGGGGTAAACCACCAGGAGAGGGGGGGCACACCATGCAACAGGGAATTATCCCATGGTCCTGGGCTCCTGATACATTGTTCATATTGTTGAATAGATACTGGGAATCATTTTTCCAAGTCTGTCCACCTAGAAATAATTAAATAGGAACATATTCTGTGTTTTCTTGCATATGTGCTATATCTATTGATGTAGGGCGCTTCAGGGGGTCAAATAAAGATGGGAATATACTCATATATGCTCATAAACATGTTTTGAATATAATAGAACACTTTACCACCAAAGGGGCAAAAGTGTGAAAGTGTTCTTTACTCTAACATATGTTAAATGGCCTCTAGAGGAGGAGCAGGCACACAAATAAGCAAAAAAAGCGGTCTATTACATTATATTGTACATATATATACCAAACTACTACTTAGATACAAGAGGGGACCTATTGTGGTGTGGTGGTGAAGCTGCAGTGAGGTGGGGAGGGTGTGGGAATAATTGATATTGTGGAGATTCCCAAAATGGGTGATGTTTTAGGTGTAGTGGGGTGGCTAAAAATGCGAAAATGTGGAGAAGCAATCTATTTTTAAGTGTTGTCCCACAGTAGGTGGCCAAAAATGCGAAAATTAGGGGTGTGAGATTATTATGGGAGTGTCCTGACAGGATCCTCCATTGATATATCAGCCCTACAATGATAGGTATCTAGGCAACTGCACGGGTAAACCCCCGGGTGTCAGCGCTACTACCCGCACCCACACCCGGAGGAATACCCATACCCTCAAAGCGGGTCTGGGTTTTTGCATGGGTGGACGGGTAAATGACCCGCACAGTAACCCACGAAGGGTATACCCGTGGGTCGCTGCAAATTCGAACGGTTCATGTACAAAATGTAGCTACTCTAATTTAATGGCATCCCACCCAATCTCGAGCTCCTCCTCCTCCTCACCTTCAACATCTGCAAGTGCTGCAACAGACATGACGTCCTCTGTCTTCACTAGATTGAGCTTACTCCAATATCCGAGGCACAGGAGCGCGCGGGTTGACTGAGCTGATAATCGAGAGCGAACATGTGAAAGGAGGAGACGCCCGCGACTAAAAAGACGTTCAACATCCACGGAAGTAGCTACCACAGTCGAATAGTTAGCTCCTTAATACAAAATAAATGAAAAAACAAAACATACCAGGTATACTAAGATAATCTAACGCCATGCGAGAAAGGCACGGATAAACGATACGACGTTCATACCACCAAGCAAGGGGGTCCTTGACATGCTCAATGTCAGTGCCCAGGTACCTGTCAAGTTCGTTTTCAGAGTGACTTGTCGGGGGTGCAAGCACAGGGATATTGTCGAAGATGTTGTCCTGTGGATGTAGTTAGTTTGCGACTCAGTGAGTGCATCAAAACGGACAATAAAACTCACTGAAGAAACTTCTGCTGCTATACCATCATCTGCCTCAGAGTCTGTGTGTGAGGCTGCCAACATCGAGTCGGAGTATGAGCGCTCAAATGTCTCCCTTACAAGCGTCTCGGCAGTTTCAATCCAAGTGTCTTCCCACTTCGCACGTCTGAAATATGCGAGTTTGTGACGCGGGTGTAGAACTAAAAGTAAGAGGTCAGACAAATGACATAGATTAAGAAACAAACTTACCCATGGCAATATGGTACACTTCCGATGTATCTGTCAGTTGGTAATAACGATTCAATGTCTTTTTGGCGAGTCCTACAGCTACACAAATCGATGGAAGGAATGAAGTATTCAGGGAGTAAGTGGTCAGTTTCTCATCGATTAGGTCCATTGCTGGGATAACAGTCGCCAAGTTTGGGGTTGAACGTGAGAAGAACAGTGTTGCGTCCTTGAGGATCTAGAGCAAAGCGTTAAGTCTT